TGCAGGCTCGGTTGATTTTGAAAGCCTGTTCATTGGACGGTACTGGAAAGTGCAAGTTACCATCACGCCTCCTAGCCACACGGGGCTCAAAGCAGGAATTCAACATTTTGACACAAAAAAATTGGTGAAATTTTGAATTTAGAAAAACATCCGAGGATAGTTTTTTTTTCAAAGATGATATTACGTAACAAACAATACCGTATTTTGTAACAATGAAATGTTTGACTTTGTCAGCCTGAAATATTGGAAATATAATTTTTACATGTATTAAACAAAATAAAATTTTTTTAACATCATACACGATTTTAAAATTTTTTTGCTTTAAAAAAAATTTATCAAAAAATGGCATAAACGAAAATTTGGGATGAAATTGGGTATAAACCCTTTTAAAAAACTTTAAAAATTTAAATTTTAAATTTTTTTACTTTTGATCAAGTGAAGCAAATAAAAAGGGAAAAATTTCCCTGAAATTTCCCAATTTTTATTTTAAATGTGATTTGAAAAAGCTTTTGAAAACTTTTATTTGGGGCCCATTTTTGCACAAAAAAAGTAAAAATTTCTGTATTGACGTAGTTGTAAATGATCAAAAAATTTAAAAACAAGTTTTTGGGTTAAGATCTACATTGAATTCTACAAAAAACTCGGGAAAAAAATTAAATTTAGCTTTTTCCCATTTTAAAAAAATAAAAAAGGGGATACAAAAAATTTTGCGATTGTTTCTCAAAATTATGATTAAATTTTTTTAAAAAATCGAAATAAATTAACAAAAAAAACCTAAAAAAAAAAAATATCATTTTTAAAACATTTAAAAAAATTGTATAAGGGTTTTTTTTCTTTTGGCCCAACAAAATTTACAATTTTTTAAGTCCAAAAACCGGAAAAAAGGGCCAAAAAATTTCAAAATTAAAAAATAAAAACTGAAAAAACTAAAAAACGAAAAAATTTTCAATATTGCGGTTTAAACCCAATGAGAATTTTAAAAAAAATTTGCACACTGTTTCCCTTATCTTTAAACTTTGCAGTCCATTTGCCCAAATTACCCAAAAACCGGTTTCAGAGTCCTTTAAAGGGATAACCCTTCGATGCCCACCAAAATTTGTTTTCCAACGTTCACCTTTATTTTTCATTAGTTTCCCTTTTGGGAAATCCGGGAAATTTTCCACACTTTCCCAAAATTTAATAAGGGTTAAATTGAACGAAAAAAAAAAAAAAAAAAATTTTTCCCATATTACATGTAATTGGTGAAATGATAAAAATATTAGTATTGTTTGGCAATATTGACCTGAGACTCATTAATTTTCGGATGCCTTTTCGGTAGTTTCCTTAATTTATTATTATTGATAGGTACTGCCTCAATTATATAATGTTATACTAACAACCCGGAGGCCTAGTGGTAATAATGATAGCATAAACACGCCCGTTTAACTCACAACGAGTGAAAAATATCCATCGGTAAAAATGTTGTGAGCAACTTCCGTTCCTCGTCGTGAGCACCCGTCTATGACGAGTGACACGTTAAACAAGGTGAATTTTTCATAATTTTTGAAGATTACAGACATTTTATTGTAAAATATCGGAATGCAGTTAGCTAGCGATGTGTTTTTCGAGTATGCACATGTAAAAGATATATTGCCTGTTGGTGGACAATTTGATGGAAATACCGTTTGGACGCAGTCACACGGGGGTTAGCTGGAAAACTGGAGAAACAACTTCTCTTTGGACCTAATTTTTAACATTGAAAACGTCGATTCTGGTGACGTTTTGTGCATTCTAACCTAAAAAAACAGATGCCCACAAGTCTTCAGCGTAAATTATTATCTGAAAGCCTTCATAGAAACGAAGTTATACCCTTTTTTGCTTTAATCCTTTGTTGTGAAGCACCATAACCTCGTTGTTGAGAATAAGACAAGCTAAGTGCTTGTCTGGTTTAAATATGTAATTCAAATGGCAAAGAATAAAGTTTTCAATCTACAAAAGCAATCAAAAACGTTTTTGTACAATAGTTTTTCTTGCAAAATAGTTCTTCTTTTTCTTTTTTTTTTTGAAAATTATTCTTCATAATTCACAAGTCATCAGATTAACAGAAGAACTAATTCAGTGTAAGGGTAAATCAGGTATTTTATTTCGTATACTCTAGTGTGGCAACGAGTGAACATCACAGGGTATTTATGAATATTTCAACAATTTCACAATCTGTGTGATACACAACATGTACCACATGTGTTTATCCTGAGCTGAAGACTGACCGAGTTATGTAAAAAACAAGAACTATCACGGTAAGTTGACAATTCCCCTGAAGTGGTGCTTTGTCCTTTGATTTATGGACCAGATAGATTTATTTGTTTTTTGGGACAATTAGATCTTCAATGTGAAGGAAATTTTCAAGGTCCAAGGTGAAATAAATATAGGTCAGTTGGGGAAGGTCTTTGTCCAAAGGGCAGTGTGTCCACATATGAATTAATTTTCCACTTAGTTATATAAAGAAAAGAGCTTATGACCAATGTTAACGGTTTGTGGATGTTCTAGAAGCGTCATTCACGGTACACGGTAAAAGAAATACAGATCAGTTTGAAGCTCTTGCCTAAAGGGGTGTTGTTTCAAAATATGAGTAGAGTCCGTATACTAATAAGAAGTTATGACCAATTTTTAAGTTTTTGGACAATTTGAACTTCAAGGTGAAGGTCATTCAGGGGTCAAGGTCAAAAGAATATAGGATAGTTGAAATGCCTTGTCCAAAGATGTGTTGTGCCTAAACAATATGCCAGGACATTATGGCCAATCTTAAATGTTTTTGGACAATTTGACCTTCAAGGTTAAGGGCATTCAGGGGTCAAGGTAAAAAATACAGGTTCGTAGGAAGGTGCTAAGGGATATTGTGTTCAAAATATGAATCAAATCCGTTTACTAATAAGGAAGTTATGGCCATTATTAAAGTTTTCGGACATATTGACGGACTGACAGACGGACAGTCCAAAACTAATATGCCTCCCTTTGGGGTATGCACAACGTCTTGCAAAGAAATGCTGCTTTGCAAAAACATTTTAATTGCTGTGGTAGATTGAAAATTATATTTTCACCTATTAAAACCATACACGCATTGCGATTGTCTTGCTCACAACGAGGTTATGGTGCTCACAACGAGGATTAAAGCAAAAAAGGGTATAACTTCGTTTCTATGAAGACTTTCAGATAATAATTTACGCTGAAGACTTGTGGGCATCTGTTTTAGGTTAGAATGCACAAAACGTCACCAGAATCGACGTTTTCAATGTTAAATTAGGTCCAAAGAGAAGTTGTCTCCAGTTTTCCAGCTACCCCGAGTGACTGCGTCAAACGGTATTTCCATCAAATTGCCCACCAACAGGCAATATCTTTACATGTGCATACTCAGAAAACACATCGCTAGCTAACTGCATTTCGATATTTTTACATAAATGTCTGTAATCTTCAAAAATTATGAAAAACTCACCTTGTGTCACGCGTCAAAGATGGGTGCTCACAACGAGGAACGGAAGTTGCTCTCAACATTTTTACCGATGGACATTTTCACTCGTTGTGAGTTAAACGGGCGTGATAAAGCAACGTTTTAATATTTGTTGCAAAAAATAGCATTTGTTTGCACTGAAACAGAGTTTAAACTGGATTTAGCCATTCCATAAATGTGTATAACACTTTGCAAAAGATTTTACTTTGTCTTCAGAAATTTAGCATATTCTAGGTAAATATTCTTATTGTTATCATTTTTATCTTTGTTTATAATAGTCCTTAAAACATAGATCTTGAAGTGCATTTGCAAATACATAATAGTTCTTCATTTTTTTCATTATGAGCTTTGCTGTTACATGAATTTTGTCCTATTTAACGTAAGGAAAAACAAACATGGCTGACAATGCTGAATCACCTAAAAAGAATCCCTCCCATATTGTTTACTCATCCAACAGGTACCCAGTCAAGTTTGAAAGATTACGCCGAATAATCAAGCTTAGGTCTTTTGCCTTTAATGCCAGAAGTCGCAATCTTACTTTTACAATATTGATGCAGCACAAAATCCATGAACAAAATAAAACAAATACAAATAATACTGCTATGAAAACAACATAATTTAATATATACTTACAGTAATCGAAATGTTGAGTTGTCCCGTATAAAGCAACATTGTGGACGAAATCCCAAATGCTCGAAAACGCACTGAAAGATATATGCTCATAGATACAATAGAAGTTCTTAGTCTTAAATTAAATATGTTACTCATGCAAGTGATTCATATTTTATATTCTTAGCACACCCCTCACACGCCTTGCAAGTGTATTTGGGATGAAAGTTATAGTTATAAGAATATAGTTAATTTATAATGTGTTTAGACGTAAGCTGCGAAACTTTTCTTTTCCAAGCAAAACTAACACATTTTTATGATATAAGATAATTATTATACAGTAAAACTTTTCCATGGGACTATCAAAAAGGTCACATATGACAGGGAGTCTTTTAATCCAGGTCAATAAAAAGTTTGAGTTTTACTTTATGAAAGTTTGCATATTCTTTGATTGTTTTGTTTGTTGAAAACTATAGCATAATATTCTCTTGTATACTTCAAAGGCGTTTTCAATAAAGACTAGTTTCAATATACTAAACATTAAGTAGTTTTCTTTCGCATATGCAAATGGTAACAACATAGAGTGTTTTATCTCCTTAGAGAAAAACGGTATTACACCCTTGTGTAGACAGGCTAACATATTTGTATTTAATTGTCTAAGAAACACGTTGTCTTTCTTTGAAGTATTGCAAAATTATATCTAGGTGTAGATAAAGACTCCTTTGTCTTCAAACTAGAATTTAGCTACAACGTTTACTTACCTGTTTAAACAGGCCTCCCGAATCTGTGGCTAGGCTAACCTGATTGTGAAAGCTCATATAACATTTTTTGTCTTTGTAGATAGCTAGACTCACCTGTTTATCAGGTTTATAAATACCTTTCTATGAAAGTAGGCCGACTTGTTTGTCGTGGTTTGTTGAATATATCCTTGTTTGTTTATTACAAAATAAAAGACATGGTTCACCTGTTTGTTGATATTTTCATATATCCTTGTCTGATTAAATGTTGTCCTAGACTTTTTGTAACTGTTTGTCCGTGTTTATTTATGCCCTTGATTGTCCAAAATATACCTAGGCTTATTTGTTGTCCATGCTTAATTATACCCTTGTATGTCTGAATATATAGCTAAACTTACCTGTCTGTCCAGTCTTATATATGCCCTTTTCTGTTTGAATATATACCTAGTCTAACCTGTTTGTCCAGGCTTATATATACCCTTGTATGTCTGAATATATACCTAGACTTACCTGTTTGTCCAGGCTTATATATACCCTTGTCTGTCTGAATATATACCTAGACTTACCTGTTTGTCCAGGTTTATATATACCCTTGTCTGTCTGAATATATACCTAGACTTACCTGTTTGTCCAGGTTTATATATACCCTTGTCTGTCTGAATATATACCTAAGCTTATTTGTTTGTTCAGGCTTATATATACCCTTGTCTGTCTTGATATATAGCTAAACTTACCTGTCTGTCCCGTCTTATATATGCCCTTTTCTGTTTGAATATAAACCTTTACTTACCTATTTGTCCAGGCTTATATATACCCTTGTCTGTCTGAATATATACCTAGGCTTACCTGTTTGTCCTGGTTTATATATGCCCTTGTCTGTCTGAATATATACCTACACTAACCTGTTTGTCCAGGCTTATATATACCCTTGTCTGTCTGAATATGTACGGCGAACGTTTCACTGATATCACCGGAATCATGGTGTAAGATTGCATGCTCTTGGAAAAACAAACCCCTAAGTCCATTTATCAGGAGAGAGTAAGTTTCTGGATTGTCTGATAGATTTGGTACCTTAAGAAAAACATGAAGTACATGTGACAACAATGGTATGGAAATGTATATTCTATGGTGGCTGATTTGTGCCATAAATGTTTTCGCCATGCGACCCCGCCATTTTGACTTGTTAATTCTCGACTTTCAGCAGTCGTGGTCACAAGGCAAAAACATGCTAAATATAAAAATATTTCGCCCGGCGCCCCCGCTAAAAAAGCGAGTTTTTGGTACGCGCACTCGACGTTTTATTTCTTAAATGTCGCTCCGCGCCAACACCCGCGTGTTCACCTAGCGCCCTCGCTTATAAGCGTGTTTTCGCTCCGCGACCCCTAATTTTAACTTTTTCGTTCGGCGGAGTCGCGGGGCGAAACACGAATAGCACAAATCAGCCACCATACTATTCAAAATAATATAATGAATTGAATTTGTGATAGCTTTATATATATTATTATATACAATGGAATCACGTTCATAAAACTCAAAAAGATTTTCTTTGAGTGAAGTTAGTATTGGTAAGCATTCACAAAATGGAGTTTGGTCAAGAAACGGTGCAGCCCCTCGGCTTATTTAACGTAGAATAATGTAGCTTCATATTAAACACTAACCAATTTTAAATAATGTTTAAACAATAATTTTATCAACTGTATTTTAACAAAACTATCGATTTACTGGATTGATAAAATTTAGCCAAATTACCAATGAAATTAAATATGTTATGATACATCCGAAAAACTGCAATTCTTTTGGATCAAATTAATTTCAATCACTAAAACCCAAAATGCACGCGCACACAGACAGTTCAAACAAGTCCAGAACGAATTATTTATTGAGGTTTAGCTGATAACGAAGGCATTGTCGTGCTGTAAGGATTCATAGGTGATATCAAAATTCATAAACATGAGGTCTCAACCACAAAGGCTTCAATATGTAATCATTTAGTGTATTATACTGTCTCAAACTAATATACATGAAAAACCAAGAACAACAAACCCTTTATGACAGTTATCCCATGTCGCATTTAAAAAACATATCATTCATGGAGAAAAAAAGAAAAAAAACATTTTGCAATGATAAGGTATTGATTATAGCTTTGGTACGAAATCCGCGTTCATTTTAATCGCACTGTTAAAACTATACCAAACTTAATGCAGGCGAAATAGTCCCCTACCCTCCCTGTCCCCCCCCCAACCCACACACACACGCACAAACACACCGTGTGTTGAATTTGTGAACATCAACTGAAAGGCAAAACTCTTACCTGCAGTTGTAACAATCCTGGTTTTCCTGCAAGATAAAAGTATATAGAAATTATAAATATAGAGCTAATATCAGAACATCAAAATTACTTTATTTAGGACTTGTACAGCAAAATCACTTTATTTTGGACTCGTTCAGCAGATCACTTTATTTAAGACTTGTGCAACAGAGTCACTTTTACAGCAACAGCAGAATCACTATATCTATTACTAATACTGCTGAATCACTTTATCTACAACTTGTGTAGCAAAGTTACTTTACTTAGGACTTGTATAGCAGAATCACTTTATTTAGGAATTGTACAGCTGAGTCACTTTATTCAGGACTTGTACAGCAGAATGACTTTATTTAGGACTTGTACAATAAGTACAGTATCATATATTAATTAATAATAGTACTGCTGAATCACTTTATCTAGGACATGCTGTGCATCAGAATAACTCTTTTTAGGACTTGTATACCAGAATCACTTTATTTAGGACTTGTACAGCTGAGTCACTTTATGTAGGACTTGAACAGCAGAATCACTTTATTTAGGACTTGTACAATAAGTACAGTATCATATATAAATTTATAAACAATAAACAACACTAAATCTATAATGTCACAGTGCGGGAACTTAAGACTTTGCTCTTTCTTAAACAGATAAACATATTATATAAAAATTATGTATACAATGTAGCGTAACCATTTCGTTTCAGGGAATAGACTATACTCCTTTAAAATCTCATACTTTGAAATAGGTGCATTGTGCAGATATTGTTAATATAAAAGTTTTTTTATTTTCAAAAACAAAAAAAAATTTTCTGATCGATTTGACAGAGAATCTTAAAAGATTTTTGTTCAGATTTCCAAGAAAAAAATAACTGCTAGCATGGAATATGTTTTTAGAATATTTAGCGCACAAAAAATAGCAAATTACCTTCTTTAAAAGTGTGTGTAAGGGAAGTCACTCTGTGATGACTATCGGAAAGCAGGTCCAGTTGTACCTTTACATCAACGCCAGACGTGTTATAGAAGGTGAAGGTCACCGGAAGCGGAACTCCAGGCGTGCACTTGTCAGGAACGACAATCCAGTGTGTCCTTTCATTACAAAGAAATATTTCCGTGTAAATGAACATGGCATATGATTATGAACGTTTTGTGTTTGTAAGTATCTTTGTTTTCGTTTTTGTTGTTAACATCTACATATATTCTGAATAGCATATTTCTCATAGGTAATATACAAGCATGTCACTGTTTTCGTAATGTAAAATATGATTACTCAACCAATTGTTTATACCAGCATTATACCATTTGTATTTTTAAACTGGTTATATAACGCATAAATTGTAGCATTATGCTCCAAATATAATGTTTAAACTACTTATATCAACAAGTTATTGTTATATATCACCAAAGCTTATGTTTAAACTCAATATTACCTGCTGCATGTTGCATATTATGTAATATAGTCTAAAAATTGGTATATTACAATTTCCATTGAATTGTATAACAAGATATAAATATAAGTATAAACTTGTGATATTTTCCATGGCAGTCGTAAAGCATATCATAGGATAAAAATGTGGAAATTTGTTATATTAAACATTTGAATTACCGGTATACGGTATATCAAGATATAAATATAACGTATAAACTTGTTATATTTTCCATTGCAGTTGTAAAACATAGTATGCGAATAAAATAAGGAAAGTGGTTATATTACATATTGTATATCATGAGATATATAATTAACAAAAACTGGTTATATTACCCATTGCTTGTAGCAGCATGACATGTTTCAAATGTCAGAAGAATTATGACCGCTAGTAACATGGCTGTCTAAAATCTCCCTGCAAAATAATATCAATTAAAGGCCTAGTAATACTTTAATTTTTATTTCTCAAAATATTTTCATTTAATATATCATTATTGTTTTATTCTTTCTATTTTTATTATTTTTATTTCTATTTCTTTTTATCTTATTTGATTTTATTTCATTTTTTTATTATTCGTTTATAGTTTCCAACAAGTTTTGGTTATACCTTTCTATAGAAATAAATATCTATTCCACTCTTGGGCCATTAAACTATTAAAAAAAAGGCCAGATGAACACTTCAAAATCGAAACTCGACAGAGAGATTATTACCTGTCTAGATATTAGAATGAAACGTTTTCTTAACAGGTAAATCACATTTAAGGGGTTTGTAAGTAATCATAAACATAGAGAACGACCCCAACTGCAAATGAGTATTTTAGGTTATGGAAAAAAGAAAAAGGAAAACAACTTACCGTTATGAAAGAATAGCCATAAACAATCACTAGCACTGATAGCAGTGAAATATTTATTATATATGACGACTTTCTTATCTCTCAGGCCACATCCTGTTATACACACCTTCGAAAATTGCAGTGTACTAAAGAAGGCTAATAGTGGTTCATTAAGAACTTCGATTGTGTACGAAGCTATAAGCTTATAGACACTTTCGAATCCGTTCCTGAAACCAACCAGCACAGAGCAATGCGTGTAAAGTTTCTTGCTCAAGGTAACAACGACTGACCCCTGACGGGGTTTGAACCCATGAGGCTAGCGATTACTAGTCCGAAGCGTTAACCACTCGGTCATTATCTTGCTCCAAAAGTCTGGATTTTTATGTGGTCTCTCGACCCCCCCCCCCCCCTGCGTCTCAGCCTCCCTGGTAGTATCGCGGGGAGGGGGTTTTGCGTATTGCTTAGAGTATTACCGGTCTTAACCCGTTTGTCTCTCAATTAATTATATAAGTGGTGAAATAAACTTTAATTTTTCATCATTATCGTTCTAAAATAAACATTTATTAACAAAACAATTCGACGTGTGGCTGTTTAATACATAGACTAGTTAGCAGGGCATGTAGTACAATAATCAAATCATGTAACATGTTGAAAGTGAACAAAAAACGTTACATTCTGCAATCAGTACAGCCAGGTCAACCTGCACATTACTTTATGTGCTATTTACTTTTTTTAATTTGAAATAATCTTCTTGATACTACTATACATGATAATAAACAGTAATTGTTCAAAAAATGAAAGATGTTGAAGTCCGTCAGATATTCGACAAATTGAGGCTATTTACATAACTATTATAGATGCTAATTTTGGTTAAGTAATGTGTTTTAAGATATCAGACTTTCTATTTTAGACTGTTGTAACACGTGACATTTTCTACGTTATATCATTGGTGTGAATATGGGCATTAATGATAATATTGATCAAAATGGTTTCAAAAAAAATGTACAATATATGAGAATATACAAAAAGTAGTCTGAATGTATGAATGTACGGGCGAAAATGAAAATTCGGTTTAATATCGTTCTTTTCAGTCAACCATCCAAAAAAGATTTGGTAGTTTAAACACTTTTCTTAGGTCATATTTGAAATACTTGTTCAAAGGAGAATGTTCTTACCAAACAATACAGTGGTATCAGATTCGAGTAGGTTGCTTTTGTCTTTTCAATGCAAAATACGAGTAAGTAGTTTTGTAAACTAAAAACTCAACGGGGCATTCAAAATAAACGTACATGTAGTATGACAAAATATAAATAACTAAAGTATTAAAATAAACATTATATGAAATTTAAATTTCAATAAGTTATATGATTTTTAAAGATAATTCAAGCAAATTTTCTTCATAAATTGAAAATAATGTTAATAAATATAGCCTACACGATTTTAATAGTTTATTTATCACATACACAAAAGAAAGAAAAAAACTATTGCAATCAAAATAATGTACAACTAACATTTAGGCAATCTGTATACTCATATATCAATAAAATGATTATTTTAAGAAAAAATTATACAACATAAAATTAAAGCAGCCATTTATGTAGTATATATAAACGTCAAGATTAATCAATCAAAATCGACGTTACGAACTTGCCAACATATTGTAGAATGCCAAGACACATAGAATTCGATCACGATTCACACTACTTTCCAATCAAGCAGATATCACAAGCAAGTGTATTATTACACGATATATGCATAGCATTGAACAAACGAATGCTTGTACGTCATATAACGTCAGATACGACGTCAATAAACCAAATGACGTCAGGAGAATTACTTCTACGCTCAGTATAGTTCAACATACATTTATCATTCCTCTTTATTATTAGCACGTTTGAAAGAAAATAGATATTATTTTTTCTTACATTATACATGTACATGTAGTTTAAAATAGTTTAAAAATATAGTATAATTTAATCGTTCAAATGCTTTGTTAATAATCGCTCAGGCCTATCAGCATTTGTGATATATTCCTATGCATTTGAACTCGAATCGTACGTTATACTACAACAATGCACATAAAATTGGTATATATATCTTTAACAACGTAAAGTTGAAATCTGATATGTGACCTACGTAGGAGATGTACCGCTGTACATAGTGTTATATTTAGACCATAAAAACAAAAAATGACGGTTTAAACGACTATTTTTACATACAAATTTGATTTACCTATTGTTCCGGAGACTTCGTACAATATATATGGATTTAAAACTTGTTATCATTTCAACAGTTGACCTCTGGTCATCTTATCTTGCATCAGGAGGAAGTTCATATCAACTAGACTTTATCAACATTATTTTTGCCTTTGTAAACAGGATATACAATTCTATTATCTATTTGGTGTCGGCCCACCTTGTTTTTCGACCGAATTATTCTTAATTCTAAAGACCTCTCTTTACAACGGGTTGGGTCTACGTTTTGACCTTGAATCCTACTTCAAATATACTTTATTTTGTTTGATAAAACTCCACGGTTAAATGATTCCTGTCATGGATAAGAGGATAATGTACCAAGTATTCATATCATGTATTACATGGCAATTTAGCAGGTAAGAATATTTCTGCGATGTTAGTAGGTAAGAATATTCCTGTCATGTATATAAGAGGGCAATTTAACAGACAAAAGTCTCTGGATTCGCTCTTATTTTCATTCTCAAACTTTTTACAAATTAGGACAAATTACCGAACGTTCTTTGAAATATTGCCATATGGTCTCTCATTTTAAATCTAATCGTCTCCAGTTTTCCCACACGTGCTTGTATTGAAATGTTAACCTATGTGAGCGTGACATGTACTCCTGAATTACACAGTAGCGTCTTTGCCAATCGTTACGTTTGAACCCCATCACGTGACCATGGGATTCAAATTGAATATTTTTGAAATAGTTTATCATATTGTTTTCTAGAAGACTCTCTAAGACTTCAAGTTCACAACCTTCACAATCCATCGTAAGAAGGTCAATGTCAAAAATCCCGACGCCAATATTTGTAAAGAAATCAATTGAGCGTATTAGCTTCACGGTATTGTTTCCACCTTTTTCTAAAACATTTGTTGCTTCTCCTTTGACGTCAACATTTACCGTAGCAGATTTTTTTCCGAGTCCAATGTTCAATACAGTGATTCTGAAAAATACACAAAAAAAGAATAGCTTCAATGTAACTCATCAATTGTGTTCTGTAATATATATATATATATATACATTTTGTAATAATATTTAATATTTTATTCTTATACGAGTTATGTTGTTTGACATGGAATGTTTTCGTTCAACAAAATTCAGTTATATATTGAATTAAGTATAATAACCTCATATAATTATATTGTATTATATTATCAATTAATAATATTGAATAAATCATATCATGTACATGCTCATTACCAAAGAAATATCTTCCCTTATCGATGAGATAGATCACATATCTACAATACCAAACATGTATTTGTTATAAATCACAAAAGTAACGTGACAAATGGATACTTATTAAAAAAGAACTTTACCTAGAATTGTTAGCAAACTTTTTATTTAAAATGTTTGCATATTGTTGAACGGGTTCTAGGATAATCTGTCTGACATTGTAATTTCTGGCAAATGACTCCGCGTCGTGACCTAGGTTTCCTGTGACATAAAAAAATGAGACTGTGAGTTTTATATTCAAAAAGTCACAAGATAATTAATACACACAATACTCTTGGTCTTGTTTTAAATGTAAAGTTCTTCAGCCGGTGCTTGCGGGCGTAGACGGTAGCTTGCGAAAAAAATAAATAAATAGTCTCCACCTAAAACGCATGCAACATATTTTGGCCTCCAGTTATTTGTTTTTACTTTGATATCTATTTTTGACAACCTCATTCGGCATCAACGTATCTTATTCCAGTATTCGGCATCAACGTATCTTATTCTAGTATTCGGCATCAACGTATCTTATTCCAGTATTCGGCACCAACGTATCTTATTCCAGTATTCTTCATTAATATATCTTATTATTGCAACGTTTGCCACGGTCATTGACCTTTTCAGGTTTTTCTTGTTAACTAGTTTTGTCACGGCTGAGAAGATTTAATAACATATACATAGTAAATGAAAGTACACATTTAGTTTGTCATTTTAAGCATGCAATTAGTTATACCGGTTTAACAAGGCGAAAATATTTTTCATAAATATTAATTGCGCTAGCCATCGATAAATAATAAGTATCATTAAGCAGGCTATAGTACAGTATAACATGAAGTCAATCAATAAAAATAGAAATTGATACAAAAATAATCGAAGTATTGTAAGGCCCTAACAAGAACAAAATACACTGTACATACCAGGAAAAGTTTGAAGGATTTCCATGATTGCATCAGAGACATAGATAACAGAGATGGGCAACTTCCTAGCCAGTTAAAATATCACGCGTGCCTGCTAAACTTAAAACTTGTAGCAAGTAAAACCAGATATCAAAATCAGTAAAATAATACATTTTCTGAAAGCTTATGCATTTGTCTATGGCTCCAGGTAAAACATTTACAGTTCCCATTTAAATGTTACATCATTTTTTTAAAATGAACTACTAGAATAATTTTTGTTACAAAATTATTCATGTGGCAAAAACTGTCTCAGTGGGAATGTTTTGCCATGTTTTTCTAAGCGAAAGGCATGGAAAGTTACCAATATTTTAACATGCAGCAATAGATAAAAGATTTACCTTTCAAATGGTATATAATATTAAAGGATAAATTGTACATTCATTAAGTTTTATTTTCTACAAAATGCATTTTTCACTTTTTGATAGGCATGGGTGATATTTCAATGATCTCTGTTATCTATGTCTCTGATTGTATTTCTGTTTATCATGCAAGAATTATAAATCCAATATATATTGTAAGAGTAATGTCGCTTTTAAATCATTTTTTAAACACATGATAATTTTGAGGGATTTTAATGACTGTCTTTATCGTTGAAATGTATGTATGATAAATAAAATTCTGGAAATATCCATTAGAATTCACTTGTTATATTTAATTTATAATAAGAGTAAAAAGAGTGGGACAGTATTTTTATATTTTATGCAGATTTATATTTTATCCTAAACATTTATTTCTCAATAT